TGGGGGAGGGGAGAGATGCTGGGGTGGTGGGCTGTAGGCAGAGGAGCCCCCATGGGTGGTGGGCTGTAGGCAGAGGAGCACTTAGTAGGCTGCCGCTGCAAAGCAAGATTACACTGAGGGCTGGAACGCATATGAGAAAAAAGTCCTGCCCTTTCCTGCATCCCTGAAGGCGTGAGGGTCTAGCAGGGGTCCTCAAACAGTTTTTGGCCAGGGCTGGGTTTGAACCTGCCACCTCCGGCATACGGGGCTAGCGCCTTACTCCTTTGAGCCACAGGCACCACCCGGTCCTCAAACTTTTTAAACAGGGGGCCAGTTCATTGTCCCTCAGACCACTGGAGGGCCAGACTGCGAGACCTGGGACAAGTCAGCTGCTAAGAAGGACAGGCAGCGGCGGCAAAAACACCCGGTGGGCTGGATAAATGTCCTAGGTGGGCTGCATGTGGCCGGCGGGCCGTAGTTTGAGGACGCCTGAGCCTATGGATAAAGAAACCCCGGATCCTTTCTGCACTGGGTGCTCAAAGAGTTGCCTCTGTGTTCTCAGTTGTAAATGAGATCATCTTTGGTGAGGTCTGGATGATAAGAACCACCCTTTATGGCACACTTTTCATGTGCCAGGTGCTTTGCTGAATGCTTTATGGGGAACATGTTCTTTAATCCTCCCAACATCCCTTTGCGGTAGGTGCCATAACTCACTTTATAGATGAGGAAATTAAGGTCTTAGGTTAGATCATTTGCCTGAGACCAACAGCTAGTTGGTGGTAGGACTGGAATTTGAACCCAGAGACAGTCTGGCTGCAGAGTCTGTGCTTACCTTAACCACAGTGCTTTTAAATAGCATTTTGCCCTAATGAAAATTGATAGTGTAATGTCCAGAAGGTTAGGGTTTTTTAAAAAAGGTCTCTGTCTCAGAGATTCACCAGGGGACCTGGCAAAAATGCCCTTGATCTTGGTTTCCAGTCTATAAAAGAATGGTTATGCCATTCTCCACCTGCCCACACATGTGTTTTGAGCAGGAATGGATTGGTCATCAGGGCTCTGAGAACCTTAGGTGACAGATGATGCCTAGTTAAGCTATATGTACAAAAGTTTCCCGTCCCAACACAAGACTGAATTCTTCAAACTGGAACAGCTTTCCACCTACAGCTGACTTGGGACTTTAAACGTGAAATTCATATGTGTTTAATTTCATGTGCGAATTTCACGGGCCTCTGTGTAAGGCAGAGACCAGAAGTTTTTTGTGTAACATTAAGGCATTTTTGCTGCGTCTTTACTGAACATCCCCTCTGAGGCATCCCCTCCCCTGTTAAGGGAGATTATTAGCAGCCTTTTGTCTTGGAGAACCACACTTTCCTTTCTAGCTGTCCCTGGTGAAGAGGGAGTTTGATGAATTGAATTAATGCTATTCTCCAATCCTATGTTTGTTAGTCCTCTTCGTCTTCCCTTCCACTTATTCCACGAGGACCTGAAGGACTGTTGGGGGCTGGACAGGTTCGCTGCAGTAGACTCCACACTGGTTTCCTTATGATATTTTTGAAGGATTGTACAGAAGGGTTCATTTGTACATCATGAGATCAAAACTTTCCAAGCCAACAGGAATGACACCAACCCGAGCCGCAATATTCCAGTGTGTTTTCCCAAAGAAGTTATAAATTCTTTAGTGTCAACTTCAGCACAAGTAACCTTTTTAAAGATTTCAAGAGATGTATGAAAAATAGATGGTCCTAGCTGGGCGTTGTGGTGGGCACCTGTAGTCCCAGCTACTTGGGAGGCTGAGGCAAGAGAATCGCTTAAGCCCAAGAGCCTGAGGTTGCTGTGAGACATGACGCCATGAGACTCTACCAGGGGTGACAAAGTGAGACTGTGTCTCAAAAAAAAAAAAAAAAAAAAAAAAGGTCCTGAAATTATCAGTCATAAGAAGGTATTTTAGAAAAACGACCCAAGAAATCTTACATGAACATACATTTGTTGTCTTTGACTTCTTGACTCTATTTCTGTAAATTTATCCTTTAAAAGTTATCCAAAATTGGGAAAATTTTTTGTAGAGACCAAGTCCTACTCTTTTGTTTAGGCTGATCTCAGACTTTTGGTTTCAAGCAGTCCTCCTGCCTCGGCCTCCCAGAGTGCTGGGATTACAGGCACGAGCCACTCACTGACCTGGCCCCATTTCTCCAAAATTTCTATTCAATTTGTTATCTACTCTGCCTTTTCATTTTTCATACCACCCTGTTTATTCCTTATGGTCACTGTTCCTTCCATTATCTCCTCAGCATTTCTTTTTGTTGTTGAAGCAGAGTCTCACTCTGTGCCCTGGGTAGAATGCTAGGGCGTCATTGCTGGCAGTAACACCCGCCAGAGTGCCTGGCTAGTTTTTCTCATGTTTTCTGTTTGTTTGTTTGTTTGTTTTGAGACAGAGTTGTGCTCTGTGGCCCTGGGTAGAGTGCCATGGCATCATCGTAGCTCACAGCAGTCTCAAACTCCTGGGCTTAAGAGATCCTCTTGCCTCAGTTTTCTATTTTTTTTTTTTAGTAGACAGAGACAGGGTTTCACTCTTGCTCAGGCTGGTCTGAAATTTCTAAGCTCAAGCAGTCCACCCACCTTGTCCTCCCAGATTGCTAGGATTACAGGCATGAGCCACTGAGCCACGCCCTCCTTAGCATATCAAATACATTTTCCTATATAACTTTTTTCCAGATTGTTCTCTCCAGTTTTTATTTGTTAGGTCATCTGTAATATTTTCCTGTGAGCACGCCTTCATCTTCTGCAAGGTTTGTGTGTCGGACCCCACTACTACCCGTCCTGGGGGAAGGTTGTTTACTTTGTCTTATGAACTCTGAATTTGTTCAGGAGTTTAGTTCCCTAGCAAGGGCCTAATTACTACTAGACTTTTGGGCTCAGTTCTCACAAATCGGGCTTGCCTTCTTTCTGGTACCTAAACTTCCTTTCCTGCCCTTAGACTCGATTATGCACTAAGAAATAATTTAGGAAGCCGGGCATGGTGGCCCCACACCTATAATCCTAGCACTCTGGGAGGCTGAGGTGGAGGATCACTTGGGGTCAGGAGTTCGAGACCAGCCTGAGCAAGAGCAAGAGCACATCTCTATTTTTAAAAAATAATTTAAATAAAAAATAATTTAAAAAAATTATTCATGATTCACTCATGATTTCAACATATTTGTAATAGGATATTCCACCCATCACATTGACCAGAACATACTTTTCTTTTACTGCAATTATATGAAAATGTAGGTGAATTATATGAAAATATAAGTGAATATCGCCAGAAACTGGAGGACCTTTGAAAATGATGTTATTTGTTATGGGTAGATATAGTGGATTTAGAGCAAATATCTTTCTCTACTCTGCAAATATTCTCTATTGTGCTATATTTAGGCGATAATCATAAAAACCATGTTTAAATTATTGTCTTTTGTTTCAGAATGCATATACTGCCACTGCCATCAATGGGACGGAGTTTTGTACATCAGCAAAAGAGGCGTTCAGTATCTTGTCTAAGAATTCAAGTGATTTTACATCTGTTAACTGCTTTGGAGACTTCATAATTTTTCTAGGAAAGGTGAGATGTCTTGACTAAATAAAAGACATTCAGGGCTTGGTGCCTGCAGCACAGTGGTTATGGTACCAGCCACATACACCAAGGCTGGCAGGTTCGAGTCTGGCCCCAGGCCGGCTAAACAACAGTTGTCATTGTTTAAACAAAAAATAGCTGGGCATTGTGGTGGGTACCTGTAGTCCCAGCTACTTGGGAGGCTGAGGCAAGAGAATCACTTAAGCCCAAGTGTTTGAGGTTGCTGTGAACTGTGACACCATGGCACTCTACCGAGGATGACAGAGTGAGACTCTGTCTCAAAAAAAAAGAAAAAAGACATTCGGAAAATTGAGTCGGGCGACAATTCTACTGACTCTCCCTTAGATGTTGTGCTTTATTATCCCTTTTAAGCCTCAACACCTGAGGTAGTCCTGTTTTGCAGATGAAACTAAGGTGTAATAACTTGCCCAGGATTCCACAGTAGGTGGAGTCTGACCTGCTAAAGTCAGAAGGCTCGTTACCCGGGGCCACAGCCACCCTCTGGGCCTAATTCTGCAGTCCCAGTCTGCCTGACCCTGCCTCCCCCTTGACTGTCCTTCAAATGCTTGACCACGGACGCCCCCCTTCCCCCCACGGCTTCTGCATTCCAAGCTGACCATCCTTGCTTCTTTCAACCACTCCTCCATACCTGACCCCCAAATCCCAGAGCCTTCAGCGGTGCCTAAAGTGAACAAGGTCCTAGTCTCCAGTTGTGACCTGGCCAGTGCCAACTAGGGGGGCTGTCTGCTCCTCATCCAAACTTTGTGCCCTGTGGTGTTCTGTGCAGTTCTCAGGTGCATTATGTAGGTTAGCTGTCAGTGATGCTGTAACGGGACTGGATGTCACAGGCGTGTGCTAATCACAAACTCATTTAAGTCTCAGCTGCACCGGAGATGTTTCACGTGGCAGTAGTGATACAAGCACAGAACCACTATGCCTTTCAAAATAACTTGAAGAGTCTAAGTCGTAATTGTATTTAAATGGCTAATGGGTGATACAGTTTCTAATAACTGCTTCCAAAATTTTTTGGAATGAGTTTTCATGTTTTTACATAGAGTTTTTTTTTTTAATTTCAAATCATTCATTTTCCTGTTTCCCAAAAGGACTATATAAGGGCTAATGAGATTTTAATAAGTATGTGATAACCAGTGATTCTTTGATTTATTTTTAATAAAGTAACATTCATGGCTCGGCGCCTATAGCTCAACCGGC